CAGCCTGATACCGGTACGATCTGCCAGTTAAAAATCGGACTTTGCGCGGTACATGTTGTTACACATAATAAAACAAAATAAAAAAAATTCCCTTCTCTCTGAGGGCCCACAGCCATTCTACAAACCACGGCCACGAGCGCGCAGCGGTGAGGGCGGAGCGCAATTCTACGGCCCTCCTGCGACCTCAAGGCCTCGGTTGCACCTCTACGCGCGCGGCATCACTACCAGGGACTCACGCCTCACTACATCCGCCGTTGCCGTCCCCGTAGATGAATCATGTGAAGTGAAATAACCCGTAAGGGCGAGCGGAATGCTGCGAAGACTATCTACGACCTACATCGAGGCCACACTAGTATTAAATATGGTAAGTCTTTGCTGCTGCATAACATGAGTGAGCATGTCGTTTCTAACTTGCTGTTGCAGCTTTGTTTGTAATATAAGATAATGCGTTAGTGAGGAAGCTGTTATCTATTGCCAGGAATTATACTGTTCAAAGCGTAAGGTGAGATCTGGTGCTGTTACTTAACTGTACTATGTGTACTACAGGTTCAGCGCTTGGGGGGTTTGTTACGAATGAATTTTGGCAGCGCCGAAGGTGGTGTTGGATCGACAACGTCACCACGCTCAGCACGCTCGTGGAACTGGGTATATGTGCGTCAAGCTTTCCAGCCTTGTGTAGATTGCGAAGGGCTTTCAGTGCCGTACCCGCTGCTGCTGCTGAGGACCCGTTCGTCTTCAAGAAGTCCCGCGTGCTCACTTGCGCTTTCTCACCAAGCGCGACCACCTCACTCTTGAACGCAGGAGACGAAACATCAAGTGAAAATCCATGAGGTAAGAAAAGCATCATGTAGCCTGCGGTGTGTCTAAGCTCGTACAGCGTCGTTTATTTCACAGAGCGCGAGGCATAAACGCGGGGCTCGGCCGTAAACCATTCGTACCAGACTGCTGCAAGAGACTGCGAGCCCTTCTTCTTCGGACGAACAGTTCGGATGGCAATTTGTTGGTCAGGCTGTGATACACAACCCGCAACAGTTTTGGCTGGAGCCGACGGTGAGTGCAATTTCGCCTCTACAGCTAACAGTCGTTCCTCTAGGCGCTGATTTTGCAGGATTAAAACGCTGATCTGCTCGGACTGGCGCTTCATGAGGCTTAACACCTCAGCAGAGTGAGAGTCGCTAACGCTGGGCTTGGTTATCGCTGATGGTGGCATGAAAGCACGGCGGATTGTGCTGCTACTTCCGCTTTTCCGATGGCTCGTGCTGACATGGCCGCCCGAATGCGGGCAACCAGTGCTCCTTCGCGTGAGAGCAGCAGCATGTCGGGGTAGTGCATGATGAGGGTGGCTGACAAGACCTCTGCTACGTCTTCGTTTAGGTTCATGCCAGGCTCTGCAAAGCTCAGGGAGCTCGTGAAAAGTAGACCATGCAGTGCTTGGGCGCGGAACAGCACAGACGGCTCCAAGATACGCAACGAAGGAAGACGTGCGCCTTCTTTTGGTTTCCATCCGCTCAGGACACGCGCAACTTGCTGATCTGCCTGCGTTGTACCCAACATATACCCAAACGCCTTATTGACGCGGTCAAGCTGCCAACCGCCCCGCTCTATAATCCAGTTTTCTGCAAGAGTTCCATCGTTGGCGTGCATGGCAGCTCCTCGGCGAAAAGAGTGGGAGGTAAGTCCTTGTGTGAGTTTGACCTGCTTCTGATCTGCAATGTTCTTGACTCGAACCAGTAATCGGTTCACGTATGCTTGTGCACCAGGAACCGATCTGGTAGCTGGCGACTGTTGCAGGTCTGGCAAGGATGCGGGGCTGTCGTCTGCCTCGAGAAGCTCTACGAGACTGAGGTCTTCTACATCGCCAGCATTAGCTCCGATATGCCTTGTACTGGTAAACTGAGGAAATAGACGCTTGCTTGGCGCATTATGTATGGTTAGAGCAGCAGCTAAAACGAATAGTGGACAAGTTAAAAAACTTGTCGGGTCCTTGAACAAGGATACACCTTGTAGCAAAGCTGTTTTAATCCGCTTAAAGCGTAGGAAGAGTACGCCACCTACATATTGCAAGGTTCCAGTTAGCGTAATTGTCAATATATAAAGAAATAAAATAGTCAATGATCTTACCAGGTAAAATCGAGAGCTGGTTTTTTTCAAGTTGCTCTGCGTCCGAGCTACGTCCGTATAAATACCACAGCATCACAACCAGAGCTGCATCCGGATAGATACTCTCAGCAGAATCAGAAGTATAAAGTAGGCGAGCGATATTTTCTAGATCTTGCTTGGAACACGGTGGATCTTTCTTTTCAAAAGCCCCATCCTCGCGATTGGTACAGTACTTACCAAGCCCAGACAGGATCTTCTGCAGCTGGGGCTTTACTGTCCCCCCTTGCTGTGGGTATTTATCTATCAATCAGTTCTTTACGTTTCCGAAATAGGCTAGACATGTATTGGTAGATCGAGTTTTGTCTGTCGATCTAGCCAGAGAATACGCATATTTATCTAGCACAATTCGTACCGGTCTTGTCAGCGTCGATAAGCTGTTGAACATGCTCTAGTGTGATGTTTTCTGAAGAAAGAAACGTGCTGAACGAGTTGATCGCCGTCACCCGGGCCTTCTTACTGTTAGGTGGCGCTAGCGACGCGATAGACATGGTCACAGCTCTGCAAAATGATGTCTTTTAGGAAACAGCTGCCAACCACCTCGGGTTGGAAACTTCCTGATATTTTAGTATATGCTACTATATGGATATTTGTAAAGAGTACAACATATTCTGAAAAAATTCCAACGGAATATGGTCGGATTGGTAGGAATTGGTGGTTACTTTTTAAGACTTCGTCATTGGATAAAATCACATTAATCTTGCAATCTAATTGGTGAATTGGCTGAGTACAGTTCTTCATGGACGATGCATGGTTGGAATTGCGAATATTATACCATATCGTCTAAACTCCCACCGTTGCTAATCGCTCATCCATCGGACAAGTAGAATCGCCAAATACAATTAGATCATCTAGATCAGATTTCCCAGCAAGATAACCACACTGGACAACGTTACCATTCTCCTAGCCTTACGTCACCGAAGGTGAGATTCCTCCCGATATCAATAAAGGGTTAATTTTAGCTACCAACAGCCGTTAGGAAAATATAGCTCTCGTAAACCTCTACGCCGACTAGCATCAGCTCGCGTCACACGAGGAGGGTTACCTTCAGACGGCATCAGCTAATTTTCCTTTCTTAACAGGAGGATTCCCTGACTCTCACTTAATGGTAATGCAGCCGGCGCACCCGTACCGGAGAAGAACCCCCACCATCTTGTCATCGCCGTCACAAAGGCGACGCTTAGCAGGATGCTCATCAAGAGTAGACACTTCATGTGACGTCGAAGACAATACTGGTAATCGTACAAAAGGAATATCGGCTGGTAGAACACAACAAAGTTACCATGGTGATCATTACGTAAGTTTTCCAGACAAATGAGCTCAACAGTTTTTTCTTCCTGTTTTTTCAACGGAACGAACCTCTTGTAATCGTCAGTCGTAAGCACAGCACGCGATAAGTTTCTGAGTGCTTTGCGAACCCCAATAATATTCAGGCTTGCTAAGGAAACGTACGAAGTACCTTTGGTTTTCGTGAAGATATACACTAAACAAGCCCACGAACGCAGCTGGTGCTACGGTGCTGCTGAACGCTGGCGCTGATCGATTGGCATAAAGCTTTTGGGAAAATGACTATCTTATGCCTTTGAAGACTACTCAGTGCTGACAGCAGGAGGGGTGGGCGACTTGTACAGATCGATATGCGGGGCCATGTTGAGCATGGGAGTTTATACAATTGGCTTTCGGAGGCACGGACGATGGATTAATGGGGCTATTCCACTCCACACCCGAGTTGCGCTCTCATTGAATCCATTTTACACACTCGAGATCATTGAGCACGATAACAGGAATACCTTGTCACTATTGATACCGGTGCCAAGCGAAGGCGTTAGCTAACACTTAGATATCAAAATGATGGGGTTTAATTTATGTCAATTCTCCCCAATTTGTGACATTAATAATCTTCAAATACATGATCGCAAAGCACGACTAATTACAGGCTCAACTCCCAGAAATACTTATCACGGAGACGCAGTTTGCCACCCGCACCAGACTTCTGCTGTCCTGTCGCGGCATTTGGGCTTTACGACCTTCCTACGTCAATCTACAAACTACTGCCCTTCTAGTCTAATGACACCGACACTACGAAGTGGCGGACAGTTGATGAGCGACTCAGTCATGCGCCCTGCGTCACCTTTTCACAGTCCGCGACGCCATCAAGGAAACCTTTTTCTCATACAGTTCAAATGCTAAAGCTGAATTGATAAAAAAAAAAAACTTTTGAATTGCTAGACTCGGCCGCGGGTAGCAAACTCCTACCGCCCAAGTTAAGAATATAAGTTTTGTCGGATGCGTTGCTAACCTTTTTCTTCTTTTAGGTAAGGATTTCCAAAATCGTACCTAAATGGACAGCCTGTATTTTGTATTGGTGTATTGGTGTTGTGCTTGACACACACCTGTATTATTACAAGAAGCGTCTTGTCTCGCTATAAATGGTATAAAAAAAAAAATAGGCTGTTATTAATAAAATACCACAGGTGCCTCGATATATTTAAAGAAGCTAAAAAAGACGTTTTGTTTTGGGTTTAGGGCTAAAATCTCGCTAAATTGTCAATAAATCAAATTTCTTATATGATTAGTGTCGGGTAAATTTGGTCCAAATTCACTTTTAATACTACGTAGTATATTGTACCGGTATCAGCGCGAGCGAGTCAGGGGGGGCTATTACCGCCGTCATCCGCGTACTTCCAATTTTCTTGCGTTTAGTCTAAGATGTGTTTTGCGTCTCTCATCTCTTAAATCGCTTGCGTGTAGTAAATCTCTGCAGCGAATCCCTCAATGCTCCTTAATAGTAACCCCCGCTGCTTTAAGGATTGTCGAGGTACCTGGTTGCAGTTAGCGTTAAGTTACGAGAAAAGCGGCTCCAGCTCTACAGTCTCATTTGCTGTCACCGCTAACCTTACCACCGCGCCAAGCAGTGTATCTAGACTCTGCCACTCGCCTGCTAACGTCAACTCCTTCTGCATTCGCGCGAGCTCTCTTAGCTCGACTGTATCTGCTGTCTTCTCTTCAAAATCGTACTTATCTACGTGGAAAGCAGCCACAGCTCGAAACTTCCCAGCAAGTGACGCGGCTACCTTCTTCGTCAGTAGACCGTGACGTGCGTCGAACGCGAGAAGGTCGGAAGTGGCCACTGCGACGCCGCTTAGAATGGCCGAAGATTTGGAATCGCCCTCGTGCTCCTCCAAGTATTTCTCGACCACGATCTGTCCCACTGCCTCGTTTAGCGTCATCTCGTGGAGCTTTGGGTCGTTCTGTTGCACCATTTCGATGATCTTGAGCTCTAAAAACTCGACGAACGGATGACCTGGCGGCGCCTGCATCGTGTGTAGCCCCATATTAAACGCGTTCCTCCTTCCTCTCGCTTGACTCGCTACCAGGAGCCCGTCCTGTATGTCCACACTAATCCCTCTCAATAGGAATGTATTGAAGTCGGAGAAGGCCACTCCGCCGTGTTTCTTGAGTGCACGCAGCATGAGCAATACTTCGACAATTTGCCGTCTCTGTTGCCTATTCAAGTACGGAGGTCCCGCCTTCTGCATGACGTCGAAGGACACAGGCGGCAACACTTTGTGCAGTCCCAAGTGACGCTGGCACTGCGTGTACCAGACACCACGTGGCGTCTCCAGGTAGTGCATCATCATCGTGTCGGGTCGGAGTACGCGTCGGGCCGACTGTAACGCTGCGAATTGCAGGTACGTGAACTCTTCCCTGTCCGTCTCGAGCTCGCCTTCCCAGACCGGGATGGCGTCCAGCGCGACGTTAACGAAGTGAATGAGACGCAATTTACTGGTAGGTTTGAATGTTTTAGGCGCGTGTTGAGCGCCACAGCGCGTCTGCAGCGTGTGGAAAGCGTCAGGACGTAGGAATTCATGACTGTCGACGACTAGACAAGTGCCGGTGGGTGCGGCAACGGACCGGAAGCGATGCTCGAAGGACGAAACGCGTAGAAAGTCGAAGGTTAGGAAGTTGTAGACGAGCAGCGGCACCAGCACGAGAAATCCCAGGAGAAACAGCACGGGCCGCAGGCTTGCGCGGCGTAGCGAACGCAAGTATGGCGACATCTAGGCAAGTTTTAGATGTTCATTTGTGTGGGTCACATTAGTACTTATCGGGCCAAATATCATTTGGTATTTTTGATTGTAAAGTACTATTTTCGATTTTAACTAGTAATAGTATCTCGTTTTTTTAAACTAACATAATATTTCAATATTGACTCAGAGATTTGAAATGTTTTCGATACTAGAAGATATTTTATGATATTTTCCCGTTTCTTGCTACCTTACCCTCTTTGAACCGAGAGCTCACCAAAGAACTCTTTCGGTCAGGCTCTAAAGCAGCAGCAGTAGTGATGGCAGGCATTAAGACTGACGAGTATTTGCTCAAGTATTTAACTGTGACACAGACAAAGCCGATCGAGATGGAAAACAGCAAACGGATGAAGTCGATAGAGCGAAATCCAGATATTTGTTCATGATATCTGCTGATAGCTCGTGCGTCTCCTAAATCTGCAGCCTGTGACGCTAGATAGTGCGCTTAGTAGTACACCAACCTCTCAGATTTGTCCCAGACTCCAATTCCCTCACTCTTGATTAGTAATACTTCAGCTAGTCGAACGGGAACGACATATGATTGGTGATTAAAACAATCTTTGGAAAATATCGTATTAGCTTAGATTAAGGGCAGTCGTTATATCACCCGAATGGCAACATGCTTTAGGATTTGCACACACCCGAGTGCGCCCGAATGTGTCCGAGCTACCCGAATGGGGGCATTCGATGTATACATGCAAATCATGTATAGCTGGATAAATAGCTCAGTGAAGTGTAGCCAAGTTCAATGACATCCCAGGCGTAAAATGCATCAGAAATGTAAAGTCTCATATTATGCCGAAGAAACTTATACAGACATACAGAGGTACCGGTATCGTAGAAGCTGCAACCTTTGCTTGCTCACATATCCCACGTCAGAAGCTCCCGTAAAGGCTTCGAATGCCAAGAGAACGTAAATGCCACAATTGTAGTTGTCGGTCTGGATACCAATGCTCGATACGTACGACTGGTGATGATACCTATCCTTCGGTATCGGTAGGACCCCCACCAATTTGTGCGCGATAGCTCGGACGCTGGCCGCATAGGATGATGACATCGGGTCGTAAGTGTATATGCTTTCGGTCGATAGGTCGATCATGATAGCGCACCAATGATTTCCATTACAATTGATGGGAACGAGCACCTTTTCGTCCGAAACCCCGGCGAAAAGAGACGCAAGGCCCTCCATGTCTGTAGTGTTTTTCCCGTTGACAACTACACCGACGTGGCTCGAATCAATGGTGACCACCCCTGGTGTGGACGCAAACATCACGTTCATCACCGCATACATGCACTCGTCCTTGAGTGACCCTCTGGCAGCAAGGTCTAGTAGATGTATCTGTGCTCCAATGTTAGTCTCACTAGCCTTATTTCGAGGTAGTATAGTGACAAGATGACGTACCGAGTCAGAGCGAATCTGTAGCTGCTTAAGCTTGCTTGGTATCTCATGGTCTGCTTCAATAGTGTAAGTCCGGGCTAAGCGGCTGGGTGAAGTCGATTCGGCTGATCCAGTTCAGCGTTTTGTCAATAGAGTCGAAGATTGTAATTGCGTGATGCCAACCTTTCATCATTCGTAATGTCGTTGTTGAGAACACACCCAGACTAATAATCTCGACCGATACGTCTCTCTCCGATAATCCAGACGTTTTGCGTTGAAGCGCGGAAACCTTCGCGTCACACTTTCTGAGTATGTCTTTGGAAAGCACTCGAGTCAGCAAACTTGAGTCTGTCAGCGTATTGCCTGCAGGGAGTTTGCTCGTCTGTCGGGCCACTGGGGGTTTAGGCTTAGTCCCAAATGTATACACTTGTAGTCGTCGAGCAAGTTCAGCGGAGGATGAATACGTAGCGTTCGTGGAAAGGCTTTCGCGAACAGACCGCAATCTTATTTGCAAGTCAAACAGCGTTGAATCTGCCTCTACACTCCGAATCAGCCTGTTTCGGTTTGCTTTCTTTGCTTTTGGCGTGACTTTAGGTCTCCCATGTTGACGCACTGGACTCGCAATTTCGAACTCCACATCTCTGTCTTCAATATCAACTGTAGATAATCTGGATGTAGTCACCTGTTGATCTCCTTCACTGACTTGAGCTACTGATGGTGCTTCATTGACTGGTTTTGATAGTGCAGAAATGCTATGTTCGGGCACAATCGGTCTCGGTTCAGGCACAGTTGGTCTCATATTAACCGCGGTTGTAGGTGGCTCCGGTTCACTTGGTTCTTGGATACATGCACTTGTTTTCGGGGCAGTCGGTTTCGATACACTCGCAGCTTGCTCGGGGATGATCAACCTTAAATCGGGCACAATCGGTCCTGCTTCGGGCACGGTTGGTCTTGATTCGGACAAAGTTGGTCTTGGTTGGGGCACAGTTGGGCATATGTCGGCTAGATCGTGAGTGTTGGCCTCCTCTGTGACACAGGAGGTCCTAGTCTTACTGCAATGATCGCCCACGGCAAGCAAGCTCTCTTCGGTATGCTCAATATCAGCTTGACCAAACTCACAGTCGCCACAATCATCCACATCGTCACCCGCACCTGTGGTCTTTGAAACCAGGATGGTAGGTCGTTACGTTTCGGTTTGAAGAAGGCTCTCAAACTCCTTGTGCTTTATGATACGAGACACCGATTGGAGAAACTTCATTGCAAGCTGGTAGTCCTTCATCCCGAATCCGGCCATTGTGTCACTGATAGAGCTAGCTATCAAGTTTGCCTCCCGATATTTTCGGTTAGAGTCCCATGTGGAGCTCGCGTCTTCAGGGGCAGATACAATGGCAAACTTGGCACGAGGAAGCTCAGCCAGGTTGACAGCGGATCGGACCGTAGTTAGTAGCCACCGCTCGTTTAGCAATTGAGTCGGGATTACAGATTCCATCTTCATGTCTTTCCGTATGAAGAACACATGCCGGCAAGGAAGTAAGCGCGTCGCCATGAAGAGGCATGAGCATGTCCAACTATTCTTGTGAGCCGTGTAACTGACTCGAGGCTCGTCGAGGGCATCTTCCGACCTTGATTCGCTATGGATAGCGTATACTCCGGGAAATACCTCATTATACTGATACGAAGCTTGGGCGACGGCAAACGTGTACTGCTTGTAGATCAGCTCACAAGCGTGTTGGCCAACGAGGTTGGCAACATGCTTCATCTCCTTTTCGTAGTGAGTATGCTGGACGGAAGTCACTTTAAAGACTTGGTCGTTAAAGCTGCGTTCCTGACGACTCTGGTAGTACATGATGGAGGCAATGCACTCGTCCAGATCCATGAACGCGTCAACCCACTCTTTAAGCTGCTTCCATGCCGACTCTAAGCGGTTGTTAGTATTGTTTCCAAGAGTAACCGTGTTTTGACGCTTGTATGCACACCATAGCTCTCTGCAGCTATCCCAATTCTTCGTAAAGTAGGCTTCAAACGCATGCAGATTGGGGTCGCATTCCTCTTCGGCTTCATTGTGAGCATCCGAGCCGGCTTGAGTCTGAACTAAGTCCGCATCACCAACGCGAAACCCAATTGGACCCGAATCACCCGCTGAGTGCCCGACTGAGCTCGAATCCAACATTAAGTGCCCAACTGAGCCCGAATCAGCCACAGCCTGCCCGAGTAAGCTCGAACTGCCCGAAGCAACGCCAAATGTCACAAGGTGGCGGAGGTAGCGACGATGCTTCAAATAGGCTGCCTCAGTAGGAGCATACACGAGCAAATTGAATGTGCTGCGTAGCTGGTCCTTTTGCCATGAGGTGAAACCATAGTCCGAAGATGCCACAGCCTCTCTCAGATACTTCAACACGTGAAACTGACAGAGCAGTATAGAGGCATCCGGAAACGCTGCCCTGAGTACCGACAACTCCGTAAAGTCTTTGTCGATAAGTATGCTTTGGACTCGAGTCCATGCCGGATTGTTCTGCTTAAACTCCTCGATTGCAGTGACGAGAGTGTGACGACGTTCATTCTGCAGAAGGGCGTGCTGAACAAACTGTCCGTGGCCGAAAACATCGTGCGCCATGAACGAAAATACCTTGTACTTAGAAGCATTGGTGCCGTGGGTTGCATCGATCAAAAGAACCTCCGGGAATTGCTCGAACATCAGCCTCATGTGCTGGGTTTGCAATGTAATGCAGGTCGCAACTCGCTAATTACATTCAACACTGCACGTTAGCTAAGGTATCGATAGTCAAATTGAACGAATACTATACCTTGGTCTGCATGGTCTCGACAAATATACGTCCAATATTTCCTGGTGCTTCACAGAATTCTTGCATCCATGTTTTCAACCGTTTGGAACTGTTACGCGAACCACGCACGTTTTCGCTCTGCTTGAGGCTTCGAACCATGTTACGCACATCCTGAATAGACGGGTTGGCGTCTGTGTTCTCGATGATGAACTTCATAATATTCTTGTGTTTTGCACCCGCCTTGCGGAGCATATCCACCGACTCAACGACGCCATCATCTAGCACCTTGTGGATCGAGGAAAAGCGATAGAAGGTTTGGCGGTTGACGACATGATTGTGTACGGGGTTACACTTTGTAATACAAACTGCGAACGCGTGCTTGGCTTTGTCAACTAGTCGAACGCAGGCGTTGATCTATGCCAGATTTATTAACGTTAGTACCGATAATTGAGACAATAGTGCCCGCAATGCCCGAACAAACCCGAACGAACCCGAGCAGAAGTAAAACTTGAAGCCGTATCTTACCTGGGCTTTGCAGTCCGATAACCGGGTCTCTTGACGTGGGCGCTTGCTGTTTCCCTTCGACTTGTACTTGCCGAAGCAAGTACAGACTAACGTCTTCGCGTAGTATTTCCATTCGGACGGGATTTCAGGTGCTTTAGAGTTCTTGTTTCGGATGTCTGTGTTACGACGCTCAGCGGTCGTGTTTGTACGAACACGGAAGACCTTCATAGCACACAATGGGATCAGCAAAGAAGCCTATTGCAGTGTAAATCCACTTTACCTGGTAAGATGCGGCAAAATACCGGTCTAAATACGAGTGGAAAGCGTCCCACGATGTGAAGTGGTGCTTGTCGGGCACAGCCAGCGTTACATTGATAGACTCAGAGTCGTCGGTGTTGGTCCAGTCGCTGGAGCGGCTGCTGTTGTCGCCAGATTCCATCGGGAGCGATTCGTCGACCAATTCCTCTTCGCTGGACTCGACCGAGACGTTGGATGCGTCATCATCGCTTCGTGACCCTGATCCACGACGTTTTTGAGACGTCCGCGCCCTTAGCTCCATCTACAACGTTTGCGCCGATCGATTCTTGCCCTGTGGCTGACCCACGCTCGGCAGCACGCGCAGATTCGTGGCGATCGTCCAGCAGTATTCAGACCCCGAGGCGGGAAAAATGTGTGGTCGCCCCCCTTTACTATACGGTATACTTTGTCCGGAAAGGGGTATTTATCTGAGGAGGTTTAGGGTCGACTCGACTCAGATTTGGCAGATTTTCATTCGGGCAACTCTAAATTAAGCTGATATTTAAGAATTTCACTTTTTTTGTCAAAGAAGAAAGTATTAAAAAATATTTTTTATATAGACTGGTCACAATTAGTCAGAGTAAGCTGCACTTCAGCTTTCTTTTTAAATATATTACAGTATCTACAAAAAAACAAACATGTTATTGTGACATTTATTTAAATATAATTAGGTTAATTCTCAACTCAACTTCCGCGTTACTTAGGTACTACTGTGCTTACTGACAGTAGCTTACTGAATAGCATATATGTAGGCGATGCAGCCGTTTCCAGAGGCTGCGCGTTTAACTGGCCGATGGTCATTGTGGCGTGTCTCTCTTGGCCGTTCTGGCACGTCGGTGCCGGCGCAAGGGCGTTTAGTTTGTTGCTGCGTTTATGAA